TAACCCTCATATGAATAGTTCCTGAGTGTTTTGTTGTTATTGTTAATGAAATCTTAGAGTCATACTAATTTTTGAAGGAAATCTGAGTACCTTCCCCAACTGAAACCAGAGAAAGATGGTATGGGAGGAAACCTATGAGAGTCTAATTCTGGGAGTTCACAACTTAATTCGAGCATATGTCCCTCTAATGACATGTATCAGCATGTCTGTTATAGTGACTTGAGGAATATACACTGACTGTACGTGAGAATATTTATCTCCCATGTGACCCATTTCCATCCCGAATCTTCATCAGATGTTATTTTCTGCATAGGCCACACCTATGGCCCTATGCCTTTGCTCATGCTGTTCCTTCTGCCTCTGGTGCTTTTCTTCTACTTCTCCATCTATCAGGGTTCACATCGAGTCCACTTCTGTCTCTATCACAAGTGTCTATCAGAATGTTTGGCATGTCACAGGATTCCAAGTGAGAAACCAATTCAGTGAATATTTGATTGAATGGAAGGGTTTGTGATGTTTGTCATGGGAAATTGTGGACCATGAAAAAAACACTAAATAATACTCAGTAAAAATCAATTCCTTTTTAGAATTATTATTGGAAGGCAAGTAGCATTTGGGAAGGCAGGAGGGAGGGAGTTACAGGTGGGAGAAACTGTAACGTCAAAGGCATAGAGGTGGACATGAGCATAGATTTTAGGTAAAAGTGAGATGTGACTAATTAGATTGGAAGAGGTATTGAAAGAAAGAATAGGAAATAATGTTTGGAGGGCCCATATTACTAAGCCCCTTGAGAGGTCTGGAAGAGATGAAATAGGTAATGAGTAGTCATTGAAGGTTCTTTTTTTAAAATTTTATTTAATGTTTATTTGTTTTTGAGACAGAGAGAGACAGAGCATGAATGGGGGAGGCTCAGAGAGAGACGGGGGGACACAGAATGTGAAGCAGGCTCCAGGCTCTGATCTGTCAGCACAGAGCCCGATGCAGGGCTCGAACTCACGGACCATGAGATCATGATCTTAGCTGATGTCAGACACTTTAACCAACTGAGCCACCCAGGAGCTCCTGTCATTGAAGGTTCTTAAGCAAGAAGTAACATGATGCAAATGGTGGATTAGGGAAATACATCCTAAGGTAGAGCAGGGGAATGAGCTGTAGCTGTACTGGCAGAGACTGAGTGTGGTATAAAATGGGCTGTTGTTGGGGCGCCTGGGTGGCGCAGTCGGTTAGGCGTCCGACTTCAGCCAGGTCACGATCTCGCGGTCCGTGAGTTCGAGCCCCGCGTCCGGCTCTGGGCTGATGTCTCAGAGCCTGGAGCCTGTTTCCGATTCTGTGTCTCCCTCTCTCTCTGCCCCTCCCCCATTCATGCTCTGTCTCTCTCTGTCCCAAAAATGAATAAAAAACGTTGAAAAAAAAATAAATTTAAAATGGGCTGTTGTGAGTCAGGGGTGGGGGGTAAGTTTGTTCTGGTAGAATTTGAAAGGAAAAAATGCCACACTTGGTTGAAATGAAGAAATGCCATACTTGGTTGTAGATGAGGAGAGCTAAGATTCTTCTTGACTGACTTGGGATTAAGAACATCTAAAAGATTAGAGGAAGTATGTTATAAATAAATATACTTCCATCTTAAAGATTCTTTTTTATGGTCAATCAGCAATCCCTAATTTGTGAGAAGAGGTGGGTTTTGAACATCTATTATTCTAGAGCCTTGACCAGATGCATCTCAACATTTGGGCACAAATCTTTTCTTTCTCTAGTGCAGAAAATGTTAGAAGCTTTTCTGCTGATTCTAGACGAAAAATGCTGCAAAATTTCCCTTCTCAATTTGCTTTTATCAACTGTGTGTTCTATCTTATACCTTTTGTAGCACTGCATATTATTAAATATTTTAATCTTTTTGTCAGTGATGAATAGAAAACAGTATCTTATTTTAATCTTGTTTGCATTTGATTGATGAATGATATTGAACACCATTTATGTATAAATTAGCCATTCATATTCCTTTCTACCTATACATATGTTACTGCCCTCTGTTTTTATAAGGGGATCCTTTGTCCTTTTTATTCACTAATAAAAGCTCTGTTTAATAATGAAATTAAGTTTTGTTCATCAGAGCTGATTTCAAAAGCCTAACTTTTCATAGATTCTAAATCTAAGTTTATGTGGATTATCAGACTATCCAATCTGTGAGTATTCAGGTGGTTTAGAACTTCCCAAATCCACCCTCCTTAATCTTCAACTACGTTTTTTTGTGTGTGTTTTGTTTTCATATTTAAACCTAGAGTGCTAATTTAGAAAACCGAAAGTACCAAAATGTATCCTCTTCTTTTCAAATCTACATGTCTTTTTGGTGACTCCGCATCTCTAATCTACACAAAAATACAGTGTATTTAAAGTGAAGAGGTGTTTAAATGTAGTTTCAGCCTTTCCTTTGGAGTGTCCAAGATCATGCTGGAGTGGGGTGGAGGAGGAGTACTGAAAGATCATGTGTCTGACAGGTGCTGCTATCTTGGTTCTCATATTCTGAACCCCTTAAGGGAACTTGACAACTCAACTGACCATTATGCCTGTTATGGGGTAAATTGTATCCCCCAAATTCATATGTTGAAGCCTTAAATCCCAGCACCTCAGAATGTGACTGTATTTAGAGATAGGGCCTTGAAAGTGGTAATTAAAGTAAGATGTGGTTATATGGGTGGGCTGTAATCCAATATAAGTGGTATCCTTGTAAGTAGAAGAGATCAGGATATGGACACACAAAGAAAGACCATATGAGGACACAGGGAAAAGGTGGCCTGCTGCAAGTCAAGGAGAGAGGCTTTAGAAGAAACCAACCCTGACCACACTTTGACTAAGTCTTATGTACACCTCATAAATCATTCTCAGACTCAGTTCCATGGGAGCCTAGAGGACTCCACAGACGAGTTTTAGTAGTTTTGCAATCTTTTTATTTGACTTTCCCTTGGAGAATATATTTTAACTATTTTAAAACACTGTAATAAAAATAACACACATTCAGACTTGTTTTATTTCACGTTTTAACATATCTAAAAAGACCAGCATATTAAAATGTGCTGCTAGGTTAACTTACTTGGAATGAACATCAGAATAAAATCCTGCCATCTGGATGTACATATTTGATGAGAGATATTGATATTCTGCACTGGTCTGTCTGTCTGTCTCTCTTAAATGTTGACATGATTGCTCCACGTCTCCACTGATAGAAAATTACACAAGTGCGTTTGTGAACACAGTACATTTGCACCTGCTCAGTTAAGTGCTACATCAAGCTTATTTGCATTTGTTCTCCTCATGGCATAAAACTTGTCTGTGCACCCACAACTGACTCTCTCACATCTTGAAATCATCACTTTAGAGCCAGAATGAATGTTTCCTTTTTGACTTTATGATTAGAAATGCAAGAATTTATTAGGTGTTACTAACAATTCAACTTTGAAACAGATACTTCCTACTACTTTTCTTGCAAGCTTCTGGATGAATTTAGTTGGACAGAAACCCAGGCTGTAAGGGCAGGTTGTTCTAAAACAAAGCAATACAAAACTATTGCCACTTGCAACTACTTAACCAGAATCCGTATTTTCTAAATACTGTGCGAGTAAACCAAAATGAAATAATAAATTGGATACTGAGGATTATATACAATTGTAATTATTCCAAATTTTTATATTCACCAAATCAGTCTCAGAGTGGTCAGCAATATACTTTATACTACATATACATGGCGTATATGAACTCATGAAATAAGTATATTCTAGTGAATTTCTGCTCCTATTTGTCTCAAACATGAAGATTCCACATGAAATCTCATTTTCATTAAGGATACCATTGCTGCAAGGAAACCCAGCAAAATTTCTTGCAGCTCTAACTTCCTCTAATCTTCCAAGGTGGGTGTGAACAGGGTTCAGGGAGGGGTAAGTCAGGGCATAGAAGGGTGGCTGATCACCAGTCTTTATGTTCAGCCTGGGAGCTTTCTTTTACCTTTTTGACAGAATGATTGAGTGTCTAGGTACATACCTACACCCATTCTGGGGCATTGCATCTGGTTGAAATTTCAATTGAACAAATGAATAGGCCTGTGAAAACTACATGGTATGTATAGGAAATTATCAAAGATGGCTACAAAGGTTTTTTAAATATTATTTTTATAAGGCATATTTATAAGCCTTATTTTATAAGGCATATTATAATTACTTTGAAACTTGCTAAAATTCCATTAAAATGTATTGCATTTCCCTGGTCACCTCCTCTCTGAAACAGATCTTATCTGGAGGCAGTATCTGATAGAATGTGCGGGAGGAGTAGGGCCTGGGACTGGGGTTGGGGTTGGGTGGGTATATGAAGTGTGGGGAAGTGATATGGCCATTTTGCAGCCTGCATAGCGGATGTGCATAGTTGGAAGCAGGGACCCTAGTTTGTTTCAGCCGCCACCTTTAGAAGTCTCCTCACCAGAGCTTAGCATATTCCAAGGCCCTCCCTGAGTGTGGGGTATTGTGGCCTGGCCGTGACTACTGGCTCTGGAAGTAGATAGCCCCAGTGGTGCCTGTAGAGTGTTCAGAGACAGAACAGAGGGGGAGCTAGGGTTGCACGTTTGTCTGCACCTGACTTTTTCAGTGGCTCCCCCCCTTAAGATGAGAAGTAAGGGTTAGGTTTTGATTGCTAGAAGGTAGTAGGTTCCAGGAGTTGCCTTGGGACTATATTCACCCACCGAGATGACTGATTTTAGGACTGAGTTTTTTTGTCTGGAGGACTAGTTAGGTTGAGGTGGCTGCTCTTCTGATTTGATCTTGGTTATTGGATTAGTTAGGATAAATGTTCACCTACATAATATAGAGATTCTAAACAAAAGTGGCTTAAATAAGACAGACTTTATTTTTCTCTCATGTAATAGTCTGGAAGCAGGAGGGTCAGGGCTGGTGTGGAGCTCTGTTTCACAAGATTGTCCAAAGACCTAACACTTTCTATTTTTTTCCCTCCATCTTTAGGGTGTTGCCCTTATATGAATGATCCTAAATGGCTCCCCTACATCCATGATCCAGGTAAGTGGATGGAGGAAAGAGGGAAGGGGTGTTGATCATTTAGGACCACAGCCTGGAAGTGAATGCGTCACTTCCATTCACATGGTCTTGTCTAGAGTTTGGTTACATGGCCATGTATAGCTTCAGGGAAGAAAGACTGAAAATGCAGTCTTTCTTCTATGTCATGTGCCCAGATACAAATAGTTGGCTCTATTTCAAAAAGTAGTAGAAGCATGAATATTGGGGGGTACAACTGGCTGATTCTGCTGGGTGTTTAACGAAGTATGAATCACCATGCTACTAGTTGGACTTCTGCAAACACATTTTCATCATAGAAGTAAATGGCCAAGGCCGAGAGGTATAGTGTCCAGAAGGAGAAGCCTGGTAGCCCCTGGTCTAATGGTATTAATTGATACTGCCACTATTAGTATTTTTTTTTTCTGAGAGGCGGGCAAATATTCATCTAGGAGGCTGCCATTTATGAATGACTCCATGGATTCCTTGGTCTCTGGATTTTGGCTGATGGCAGGCACAGGAAACAGATTGGAAGGCAGGAGGCAGTGAGGTACTCCCACTCGCTCCCTATTGGCTCCTGGCAGGCATGGCGAATTCCCTCTGTGAAGGTCCCAGCTCCTATCTAGCAACCCTCTCGTAGCTGTAGCTCTTTTTAGGTCCCAGAAACCACCCCTTCTCCTCATTTCTTCAAGTCTAGAGCTGGTAACTGTTTCTGCCTGCTGTTGGCCTTGGGTGCTTCCTCATTACTTATTGTTTTCCCTTCACTTGCCTATACTTTTGAAAATAGCCATGCTATGAAATTCTCTTCATTTGCCTTCTCTTTGTTCCTGGTGAATTCCTGACTGATGCAAACCTGGATTTGGGTGTGTGTGGTCAGGCAAGCCTAGCAGAGGAGAAAGGAACATGGTATTTGTGGGTATGTGCAAGGGAGAGATAATGAAAAGAGGTCTCTAAGCTAAGTAAAGAGAAATGAGGGCATGAGCAGGGCAGATAGATCCAAAAAGTGGAAGAATCTGTTGTTGGGAAATCCCTCTGGAGTCAAGGAATTTGGGGTTTGGGGTACTAGAATGAGTGAGTGAGAAATTGGGGACTATCCTCAGAGAATAGAGAGCTTAAAATAGAGAATTTGTGACTGATGCAGTTGTTGCTAATAACAATATTCAGGTCATTGGTTCTCAGCCCCAGCCTTTAATCAGAATTTCCAGGGGAGCTTGTAAAAAAATACTGGTGACTGGCTTCAGCTCTAGAGATTCTGACTGTAATTGGTCTGGTGTGGGACCTGGGAATTGTAATTTAAAAAAACTATCTCAGATAATTCAGATGTATGGCCAGTGCTGAGAATCAGTAGTCTAGGTATAAGCATGGGTGGATAGGAGGAAATGATCCTTAGCAGCCAGAGGTCAAGGAATTGAGAGGGCTGAGGCTTGGAAGAATCATCTATGTTGAAGTCACCAAAGGGGTAGCAGGGTTCATGGTGGAGAGAATTCAGTCAGTCTGAGGCTTGGAAGAGCTTGAGACTTAATTACTCTGGGGACAAATTTCTGGCCCTATCCTCTGCTCTTAGCACGGAGTCTATGTCCAAGGGCAAGGTTGGCTGTAGGTAAACTTTTCTTTGGCCTACTCCCTCTCCCAACTCACCTCCATCTTAGGTTTTCATTGTTTGCTCTTAGAGTTACCTTTTCCCACTGCTGGTGTTTGGGGAACCACAGATTCAGGGACTCTGCAATGTCTTACCTGGATCTGATTTTCTTGAGATCTGACTCAATTCCTTATTCTTTTCTAACCTATAACCTTCTTCCTCTACTCATCAAAAAAAAAAAAAAAAAAATTGCCTTTCCTCTGCCTGACTCCCTCAGGATTTTTTTAGTGGGTTGATTATTCCCAGAGGCTCATTCCTACCTCAGAACACCTAGTAACAAGCTTGTATATTGAGAGGCGGCTTCCCATATTGCAACACACGTGTTAGGGCACTCAGGTACACAAAATAATTCAAATCCTCTTTATTTCCAGGTAAGTGTGTGTAATACTGTCTAGCTTGTTGAGAGAATAGTCCATTTTAGCTGGAAGTTTCATCCTCTTTTATTTTCTACATGCGTGCCATTGTGGGGCCATTTAAATCAAATTCTTCTCTATAGCTGAGCACAAAACCTGCACATTTCTGGTTTTGCTCTTTCTGAAGATAATTTCTGCTGTTTAATGAGATCTGAGAATGAAGTCAGGCATGAGCAGGAGAAAGGTCACAGTGTGTGCTCAAAGGTATATTAACTACTGTTGGAACTGACATCGGTCTCCTTCCAAGAGGACAAAATTAAGCAGCAAATAGTAAATACGTTCAATGGCACTTTATTGCAAGTAGGACCATTTACAATGAAATAAGAATATGAGAATGGTTTCAAAGAGAAAATGGGAGTGCTTACAAATAGAACACATCTTACCGGTTAGAGTGGGAATGTGATTCCAGTCAAGGTTAATGGGGAAACGGTTAATGAAGGGTACAGATTCCAAAGCTGCATGATGCCATATTGTATCTCACAGAGGTAATTAATACTAGAGACTCTGGCTAAATGGACACATTATACACAGCAGACAACTTGAAATTCTGCACACCATATAGAGAGGCTCCTCTGGATGCTTTATGACTCACCCTGATACTGACAGTATGACATTAGAGTCCATGTTTTCCATCCCTTTTCCTTGTGGAGTCAGTGTGGTACATGGAAAGAACACCAGACAGAGAGAAAGGAGAGGGGTCCAGCCCAGACTCCATTGCTAGGGGGTAGTGTGCAGCCTTGGGCAAATTTCTTCCTGCTTCTTGAGGCTCAGTTTCCTCTTCTGTAAAATGAAGGGCTTGAGGAAAGTAATCTGTAAAGTGTTTTCCAGTTTGAATCTGAGATATTCTGCACTTCATTGTCATACCACCATTATCACTTAACCTGCCTCATAATTATGTATGGATGGATATAGCTGGGTAAAAGATTGTATGTGCAAATACAGGTGTGCATGAACATTTACCTATATTACCTGTTTGTGGCACATATGTGTACTTCATTGTTACCATGACTTTGAAATGACGTAGCTGTAGAGATTTGTGTTTAAAAGCTACCATCAATGTTCATGTTTTTTTACCGCCACCCTCACATTTTTCCCCCCAAGGGTAAGCTAACAGGAGTAAGGTTACCTATAGAATTAATGCCTGGGATTAAGATGAATGTGGGTGAAAGAGCCCCTTAGCCTGCTGGCTGCAGGATTATCTGTCTCTTAAGAAGCACCTTCTTTTCTCTCCTTTTCTTGCTCTGAACACCCGAGGTGGGAGAATGAGGCTAAGGATCTGTAGCAGCAGGTGAGGGAAAGAATGGGGATCACATTACATCCTTCACATTTAGCTGTCTCCTTGGGCTGTCTGGAATCTTCCCTGTTTGCCTACTTGAGTAGAGGGGCTTAAAAGTAGGGCATTTGCACACACTGATTTTTCATCCTAGTGATCATCTTATTGACAGGCATTGCTTCAGCTGGACAGTTTTCTCTCTGTGTTCAGGCCTGTTGGTAAGTGGCATCCCGAGGGCAGATTCCACTCTTATCCCCACCTGACAACTCACTCATTGCTGATTTTTAAAATTCCCAGGTACACCTTGTTTGTTTCTCTCTTGTCTCCTTCCGTCAACCCCACTACCTATCCTTACTCTTGCTCCTCAAAAAACAAAACAAAACAAAACAAAACAAAACAAAACAAAACAAAACAAAACAACACACAGCCTCCCTGGGTTGTCTGGCTATAGAAGTTATTCATGCTTTTTTTAAGAGAAGTCAAGAAATACCTTCCTGTTGTTCTGAATGAAATAGCTTACAAAGGCCCGCCAGATCCCAAATTTAGGAGGCGAGGGTGCCCAAGGAGTGACACACTAAATTTACACACTAGATTTACACACTAAATCTTCAGCTTCCACCTCCCTCCACAGACAATGGGAAGGAAAATCATGGAGGGTTGGCAGCCCCAGAGCCAAGTTACCACGTGACATTGACAGCTGCAGAATTGCACCTATTGATTGTGGTGTAGGAGCGAATCTTCCATCAACCTTTAATTGAGCTGATTCCCAAATAGAACAGGGTCAGCTTTTGCTGTGCTGCTGAGTCTAAATAGCTGTGACCAAGCTCTGGTTGATATCTCTTTAACAGACCCTCATTTGGAAACTTTTTCACATTCTGTGTGTTCTAGAACATTGGACCTTGGTCGAGAGGGTTCATCAGAATCACTGAGGGAAGTGGTTAATCCTAGAGAAGATGGTGCCTCATGCCAGTTATCTCTGATTCAGTGTCTGGACAGGAGGCTGGGTAATTGTATTTTTAATAAGCTACTTTTTAAAAAAAAAAATTTTTTTTTTAACGTTTATTTATTTTTTTGGGACAGAGAGAGACAGAGCATGAACGGGGGAGGGGCAGAGAGAGAGGGAGACACAGAATCAGAAACAGGCTCCAGGCTCTGAGCTATCAGCCCAGAGCCCGACGCGGGGCTCGAACTCACGGACCACGAGATCGTGACCTGGCTGAAGTCGGACGCTTAACCGACTGCGCCACCCAGGTGCCCCAATAAGCTACTTTTTAAAGGCGATTCTAATGAGTACCCAGAAACTTCTGGAGGATTCCATCACAAATTAAGAGACATAGTGACCAAGTGAAGGAGACAAAGAAATGCTGAAATTGTGAAATAATCATATCACATCTTGTTCTGTGGGAGGGAATATGGCTGCATGGATGTGAAGAGAAGTACATTAACACTCTTTTTGTGTGATTTTCAAGTGTAAGGACATTGCTCTTGCTCTTTTCTATTGCTGTGTTGCTTGCTTCATTTCAAGGAACAATTGGACTTTCTTGGAGGGGTCTATCATTTAGATACAGCTTCCCCTCAGACTCCATTAGGAGGGACACTCCCCAGCCATCACTGCGGACCTGTTGGTGAATCTGGCATTCACTGAAAGAATAAATTGGATTTCATTACATGATACTGTATA